CTTCAAGATACAGTCGCATTCCCCAGCCATTAACTATGGTATTCAGTTTGCTGTTGTCTCCAACACATTTTTACTAGTGATGTAACAAATATTCGGTTACTATTCGGTATTCAGCCTATTTTTCGCTATTTGGCCGAATACTGAATATTTAATCACTATTCGGCCGAATACTGAATACCTAAAAACAGAAGTAAGAAATAACAAAAACACAGTAAATTACAGTCGACCCCCCCTATAATTACGATTACTATAAAACTACAAAAAAATATACGTATTTTGGAAATGTTGAGTCGGATTAGTGTAGAATCGATTAATTTTATGGAAGAAAACCTTTCAATCAGCCGTAGTCTGTAAACTTGACACGTGTCAGGCTGTGATTGGAACGACTTGTAAGAAATCGGATTCCTAATAAATTGGAACGTATCTATATCTTATAGGGGGGTCGACTGTAATCATTTTGGTATTTAGATTTAATGTTCTTGGGTTAGTGTTGTTTGTTTATATTTATTTATAACTTATAACATGCACAAAATAAAAAAGAAAATAATATCAGTCACATGTATTCACAATTTATAATTACAAAGATCAGCAGACGTACACACCTATTAGTTCGAGAATTGTTGCACATCTGATATCTGACCCTGCCTATCCTTTTTTTTAAGCGCTCTTCCCTTTCTCTTTCCTCTATCGCTCTAGTCCACGTATGCATACATCATAATAGTGCTCACAATACTTTCGATTCGTCACTTTTCCGACGTAGATTTCCAATTTTACAATTACGTGACTCATAGCCTGGTGATAACAGAGAAAAGAGACAGACAGGACGTAGGTATAAGTCACAGTTATGATTTCACAGATTCGAAACAGCTTGGTAGCCCGAACGACCCAAGGCTTTCGCCCGTGCACGCTAAGTCTCTTTCATTACAAGCATTTAGATTTCCAAAGTCTATGACAACAATTGTTTGACATTGACGGCTGCAAATTTTGCGCCAATAAGCTGCCTCGACTTGTTCAGTTATGTTATCAACTCGATTTCATATTTATTTTCACTTCGCGGTCCTTCTCTCTTCTTTTTCCATTATTTACATGTGTAGGTCATTTCATTGTTATCCACATTTGATATCATCACTTATCACATACTGCCATGACGTTCATGTCTGTCTGCTACAACTGTCAAGAATTAATGCGATTGGTGAAACGTAGTGACAGCAGGCCAATAGAGAGCGGGGTTCTTACCATAATGCGTAATTTCGTACCATAATGCCAATTTTCGTACATGCGTTAATCAAGCTGAATAGTTTGGCCAAATATTCGGCCACGCTCCTGGCCAAATATTTTGTATTTGGCCTCAGGCCGAATATACTATTCGTTGCAACACTAATTTTTACACTTCTTCAAAATTTCAGTTGCCATGAACCATCACTAAAAGCATTTGCAGCCCAAGCCAGCTGCTGGTCTTTATAGCTTAAACTGGTTACCACATGACCCTATGCAAACTTAATCATTTGCATATCTGTCACCTCTACCTGTCCTGCAATTTTTAAGTGGCTACACACATTCCTTTGTAATATCACAATTTCAATTTTGAGGAGTGTAAAACAATACATTGATTATTTTACAGCAAATGCATTAAAAAATGCATTGTTTTTTAGAATAACAGCAATTCTTTTTAACAGCTGCCTATTCTAAATACTCAGTCTTTGGTCTCATAAATATCTATTAAACCTAGGTTCCACTATGTATGCAGGAGTAATTTGATATAACTTTTTCATTTAGCAATGATTTAACAATATTTTTAACCATATACACTATAAAAATGTATTTTAGATTAATAAATTATTCTTCTAAGTTTGTAAATTTTCTGATACTTTACTATTATTAAGTGAACAAATTATTTTGGCTCAAAACAGAAATTTGTCATCTAGATATTCTAGATTCATTAAAAGTTTTCAAAGTTTGTTACAATATAATAAAGAAGTTTTGTTGCTATTTTTTGATAAGAAAACATAATTTTAATAGAATAAACTGATGAAAATTAACATAAAATAAAAAATAAAAGAAACACATGACAATTTTCATTTGTTATGTTTACAAAGTAGAAAAATACAAAATATAAAATAATAAATATATAATGTCATCCTTTGTAGTCTTCTAATGAGCAACTAATTATCATTTTTTAATTTTCCCACCTGTTATAATTATCTTAAAATTTGGATGGTTTATAATTTCACTAGTAGCCTGGGATGCCCCCTAGTGGGCGTTATTTACAAATTTCCATGAGGCATGGTTCCTTTGACTTTTTTGTTCCTATCAATATGCTGTACAGCTCTGTTAAAGTCCCAATGGTAAGATTTACCCTCCGAATGAAGAGGTGGCGACCCCCCCAAACTGTAGCCCCTGTGCGAACAATAAAGTCAAAGGAACCATACCCCTACTCGCGACCCTTCGCGAGATATAAGCCCCTGAAATAATAAATTCCTATTACAAATATACTGAATTATTTATATTGTTATATTGACCAAATAATAATTTATGGGCCAAATGAATAATAATAATTTATATTGTTAATTTAAATAATAATTAAAATCGTTAATTTGAATGTTTGAAATATGACACGATAGGGGCGCCTCTAGTGTCCGTTATCAAACGGTTACGCGGACTGACACCCGTTGAATGGGTTATATATATAGATATTGACCAAATAATAATTTATTGGACAAATGAATAATAATAATTCATATTGTTAATTTAAATAAGAATTAAAATTGTTAATTTGAATGTTTGAAATATGACACACGATAGGGGTCCTCTAGTGTCTGTTATCAAACGGTTACAGGACAGACGGACACCCGTTGAATGGGTTATATATATAGATTAGTATTGTAAACAAAAATAACAACTGTAGTTCTAATAATTAATTTTACTTCAGTATTAATAATCAATCTACCTAAAGTTTGTGCTTTGAATTCCTTTTTGCTGTTTATAACTTTAGTTATAAACAGCAAAAAGACATTCAAACAACAAAATACTATAATTTCCTGCAAATAACCTGTGGGTTATCTATATTTTAAAGTCAATTTGAACATGAATGTAGGTTATCTTTTAATTTTAAACTGTGATTACAAGCTTACCCAACAACTTTTCTTTTGTCTAATTATTTTGCTGTATATAACTTATTTTGGGTAATTGTGGTCTTTATTATGGAGTCTAATCCTGTATAATTAGTTTCTTGAAATTCATTTTTGTGTGTGTTAATTAATTCTGTGTCATTAGTTACAACTGCTGTGTTTATGTTTTCATTGATGCATGTTATGCTATGCATGTTACGCTATGCATGTTTTTGTAAGTGTCATGTTATTAAGGTATTGTCAGCATTTGATATTTTTTGTAATCTAGTGCTTCTGTGTGTTGTGCTTCAATTAGAAAAAAATATACTGAAGGTGATTGAAAAAAAGGATGATCAGATGATAAACTGAAAGAATGAATAAAAAAAATGGGTGATAAATCAAATTTTATATATTATGTGCCATATGATTATCCCAATATGCAACTTTGGGCATGCTTTAAGCTGTAAGTTTTCCAACCCTACCATAAAAGGAAGCTCATCTTTGGCTGCACAGGTATAATTATTATTAATTATAAGATATTTTCAATATTAAAGTAGTTTAGATAGCTTTGTTTCAATTATTCTGTGTTTTCCAATCCACTTACAAAATAACTTCATCTGCAATGAATTATTATTGGAAAAAAAAAATGCAATGCCTGAGACAGTATTTTAAATTTTATATGAATTAAAGACATGTTTTCAATGGCAACTTCAGAAGTATGGGTGATGTGATGTATTATTTTTATTCTAGCAATTTTCTGCAGGTTATAAACAAAAAATTACAGTAATTATTTTCTTTGTTTCAATTTATTTACATTTTAATATTTTTACTCTCGATTTCATATTTATTTTCACTTCGCGGTCCTTCTCNTTTTCAAAATAATTTATTCAAAACTGATTTCAAAATAAATATTAAAAAAGATTCTTTCAAAGAGAAATTGTCTTTGATAAAAATTATATTTTAATGACAAACTACTTAATATTTGAAAATGAATTATTATTTTTCCAGCCAAATTTTCATATATGTAAATACAGAAGAACACCAATTATCAACAGTATTGTGGGCTGGTGCTATCTTGGATAAAATGGAGGGTCATTTCAGATGAAAAATATATAAATTACAATATTTTATATTTGTAATTTATATGGTATATCACTTTTAAGTCTCTTTTTATATCTTAGTGAATTTAATAATTTGTAAGAACAATTTTTTTCAAAATTTATTATACAGGTAATATGTACATAGTTTTAAGAATAAAAATGTGTTATTGTAGTTACATTTTAATATGAATGATTTGTCACACCCTGAAATCAAATGATAAACAGGAACAAAAATAAATCATTCTATAATACATGTTATTGTTTTAAGCTTTCTTTTATAAATTACAATATAAGAAATATAGTGTATTCGTTTACAGGTTTACCTCAAATACAGTAGACCCTCCTATAACATGGTAGATAATTCCGTGTTATATGAATTCCATGTTGTACAAGTCACTTAGATTTTACAAATACGTGAGCCGTTCACAGCCCGGCACATGTATTTGTAAAATCTAAGTGACTCGTACAACATGGAATTCATATAGCACGGAATTATCTACTGTGTTATGGGGGTCTACTGTAATGCAGAACCTCAGCAAATTGGATATCAAATAAAAACAAAACCTTTAAATACCAGTAACAGAACTTTAACAAAAAATTCCGAACGTTTTTGGCCTTCACCAAGGCCTGCCTTAGGTTTTTTAATGTAATAGGATTCCAAGGTTTTGTTTTTATTTGATTACTCCAGTAATTTGAGAAGGAGATAGTTATAAATGGAGCTGATAATTGGCATTCTACTGTATTATTGAAAATTATATTAAACAAAAAATTAAGTATGTGTGAAAGAATTCACCTGCAATTGATAATCGTTCATCAATTAGTTGTTTTCGTTTTTCTTTCATTTCAGAATCTAAATTTTCTACCATTTTATCAATTATGTTATTAATTGTTAATGCTGGTGTTTCTGTTTTTATACTTGTCCGACAAACAGGACAGACTTGTTTTTTCTTGTTTTTCTTCCATAACTGAATACACATTTTACAGAATGAATGAGAACAGTTTAAAGTAATTGCCTGAAATAAAAAAAATGTTAATCATTGTTTGATTTTTTGTTTTCTAATTATCATTTTTTATAATATATAATTCAAAAAAATAGGAATAAAGATCATTAAAAAGAAAACCTGTATTGGCCCAAATATAAATTGACCTTTTATTATTATTTTTATTTGCATACAAAAAATTAGCAATTTGCATTAAAAAAGGGTTCATTTCTAACTAGAGTATACAGTAGTTTTACAGTCATAGTGATGATTAGTTAAATTGGAAGAATAGGGCCAGAAGCTAGTCAAGAAAGAGGGCGACAGCCACCAAAAGGAAAGTTAAGTGATAAATAAATCTAATTAAAATGCCTCAATGTCCTTTTTTCTTACTAAAATATAAATTTTCATCTATAATAACATATCTTCTATTACCAGGACTTATTATACTGGCACTACAGAAATATTACAAAGTTTTACAGAAAAACTTTTTTTTAAGTAAAATAAAAAATGTGACATTTAGCATTGCTAAACAAACAACACAATGAATTTTAGCATCAATTTAACTCTGTATAATATGTATCACAGACAGTTATCAAAATCAAAGAAAACTTTAATTAGACTTGAATGTAGGACAAGAATGATTTTTTGCTCCTTAAAAACTTGGGAAAAAACATCAACTGATATTCAGGCCAATACAGTATATATTGCTGTATGTGAGATTTTTCCTTAAGAATATTACATTAAAATGCACCAAATTTGTGCTTATCATATAAAAATATAATATATTTACTGTTCATTTTATTATTGCAATTTTATAAGCTAAAATTTAAATCAGGGGTGTCCAACCCGCGGCCAAAGGCAAGTTTCAATGTGGCCCAATAAACGTGTAAACAAAACCAACAAATGTTTTAATTTTTTTATTATTTTTTTATTTCAATGGCATAAACTCAAAAAAAAAGTTTCACAAAGTCGTAAACCTTTATTCATATTTTATTTTTAGTGAAAAAGAAATATTTTCAAATACTTGGAGATGTGTGAATGAGGGAGGATTACTAAATAAAGCTGGAGTTGTGACTCAAAGAATTATAGACCCAAATTTGGGAAAAGGACAGAAAGGTGAGAAAAGACAAAATATAAAAAGTAGTGAGAAAAATTAAATAGATCTTCTTTTCTGCAAATATTGACCCCTAATTTTCCACTTCTTTATCTTTTCTCCTTTCCTGCATTTGGGTCTATAATCCTTTGAGTCACAACCCCAGCTTTATTTAGTAATNTAGACGATGAAGCTGTAGGCGCTGTTCATGCTTGATGTACAATGAGACGATCCTCCCTTCTGGTGGTCTGTCGATAGCGTCCGGAACCCATTTGCCATTCGTGTGTACCCCTACTTACCCACTGCTCATAACACATCCTAACAGTTCTATCAGAACGGTTTAGATGGCGGCCAATCTGGCGGTATGACCATCCTCCTCCTCTCAATCCAACAATGCAACCTCTCTCAAACTCACTTAACTGAGTGTAAGGCTGTCGAATGCGTCGTAGAGGCATGTCTGTCACTCAATGAAGTCAAAACCATGAATAAAAGCGCAGAACATATGCACAAGTCGTCACAGCATGCACCTTTATACCAGGCAGCGGAAACATTTTTTCTTCTCTGGTGATGATATAACACAAGAACCTACTCTCAAAAGCTAATCATTTACATATCTAGCTAAGATGATGCAACATATCAATTTTTATTCAAATCCAACAAGTCCTTCATGATGCGTTATTTTTTTTGTCGTCCAGTGTATATATAAAAATGGATGTGTGTCCCTATATTTCACTTTTTAGCCAAAACTACACATCACACATGAATGGTGTTTGTATGTGGTAGTATCCCCAAGTCTCCATTCGTGCACTATGGTGGTTGTCTCTCGATAGCTATAAGGGTGCGGGAGATATGGGCTTGAAAGTGATTGAAAGTGAAAGATTTTCTATTTCGATTTTAAAAATTTTCAATTCAAATTCGTATTCAAATTGGTTCAATTATAGAACAATTGTAAACATTCCAGAAAATTGATCAAATTGAAAATAGTTCGTTTGACTGGATGTAAAAATTCTCTAATTAGTCTGGAAACGGGGGACTTAATTCTTGCATTCTGTGAAAACAAGTAAGATTGGCTATAATGTAATTATTTTAATCTTCACTATTGTTACTTTTTGCCCACAAATAAAAACCCAGCGAAGTTAACCTTGCAGCTAGTTAATAATAAATGTAGATGTAGAAATGAAAATATTCTTTACTTAGCCAAAGTAACCCAGCTTATTAAGTAAATTGATTGTTCAAAGTATAAGCCTATGAAAGAGTATGTCTACAAAAATATCCGATAAGGAAAATAATATGTAAAATATCTGAAAGATAATTTTTTCCATATTGATTTTTATTCTATAATATTTTTACTATTTAAAAAGTACTTAAATGATCATAATTAATAATTATATATTACATTACCTCAATAAATAACTCTGTACATATACTGCATATTAGTTCTGACTCCATTATATCATTTACATGGTCTAAAGGATTAGGTTTTTCTTCTTTACTACAATTTTCTTCTTGATTATTGTCATTATTCTCTTTTACCTATAATGTTTATATTTAATCAACTTTATTATAATTTGATAAGGATACAGTTACCTAAGTTTATAAAGATAGATAATACTGTAAAGTTTCTCAAGTAGACAATACACTATCTACCAGAAAGTAATTGGACAGTCCTGCAAACAGTGACATTCACTGTCTTAATATACATCACGATCACTGCGGATAAATATCAAGTGGAAAGAAAATCAGCATTGGTCGCATGCAAAATGCCATGCAGTTCAGAGATGTCTGATTTCAAAAAAGGTATAATCATTGGTTATCACAGAAATGGCCATTCCATATGTGACTTATCCAGTGAGCTGAAGTATCCAAAATCAACAGTAGGCTACGTAATTCGCAAATGGAACTGAACAGTAACTGTTAGAATAAGCCCCGACCAGGCAGGTCCATGAAACTGAGAGTTAGAGACCAATGGGTGCTCTCCAGAGAAATTTGGAAGAACTGCACCCAACCGATGGCCCACATCCATAGGGAGTTTCAAATGGCAGCTGGGACTGCTGTTTCAATGAATACCATCCGTAAGGAAGCCCATCTGCTCAGTTATCATGGATGTGCTGCTGCCCACAAGTCTTTCATCACCATGACCAACAGCACTGCTCAGCTAGCTTTGTGCAAAGAATGTAGACAGTGAACTGTAGAACAGTGAAAACAGGTTCTCTGGAGTGACGAATCCAGGTTCATCCTCTTCCATTTGGATGGCAGAGTCTGGGTTTGGCATCTGCCTGAAGAACACCTTCTGCCGGAATGCATTGTGCCAACAGTGAAGTTCGGCAGAGATGGAATTATGGTGTGTGGGTATTTTTTTCCTGGTATTGTCTGGGATCCTTGATTGCAATCGATGGTAGTCTCAATGCCGATGCCTACTGCACTATTTTGGATAACCATGTGCTTCCTACATTGTGGTGGTTTTATGGGTTAGGACAATAACGCCAGATGACCACCATTGCTTGGCATAGTGACAATGGGGTTAAACGAATGGATTGGTCTGCTCAGAGCCCAGACCTGAACCCTATACAGCACCTCTGGGATGAGTTGGAGTGTTCTGACTGAAGGGATGTCCCCACTGCCCAAAATCAGTGAAGAAACTCATGTGTCTTCTCCAAGCTGAGTGGAAGAAAATACTCCCAGTCGTCAAACAAGGACTAGTGGAGAGTATGCCATAAAGGTCTCACCTATAATCTCTGCCCACAGAGGTTCCACCAACTATTGATGATGAATAAACTTCGTTTTTCTGTTCCATCACAGGTGTCCAATTACTTTCTGGTGGATAGTGTATTAAAGAAATAACAATGTATCTTCCAGCAACATTTAAGCATCTATTCTTAGCTAGAACCATCTTATATGGATGATGAAGGATAAATATTAGTTCATTGTCATGACAACCAGATATTCTTAAGTCCAAACCCTCAATCCTTTTAACAATATAAAATATTTTAAGAGCAGAGACTGCTCTTCTAGACATATCAATATTGATAATTGGAAATAAATTTTGAGGCAAATATCTGTGAACTTGGTTACTGATGTTATGTTGATGAATAATTACATTGTTTAAGGATATGAAAATATATAAAGATTAAAGAAGTCATTTTGAATAATTTTGTTCCAGATGCATCTCAAAGTATACGTAAGTTATAAACAGCAGCTTCCAATGCTTTTTTTGTTATTCCATTTTTACAGTTATCATTGTAATAGAATTTACATATGATTAAGCATTGTTTATGATAATTAGTTTAACTTAATTCAGTCTAACATCAAAAAATAAATTTATTATTAAACATATAAAATAATAAATTTCGATAGATTTCAATTCTAAAATTCTTAACTTTTAGAACTGGAACAAACTTAAGTATAGTAACTATCTGCCAAGAGATAGTTACTATACTTAAAGGTTTTGTTCAAGGTTTAATTTTAATATAGAGAATAAAAATTCCAAATGCTTTAAATCCGTCACATAAGAGAAAAAATTTAAAAGAAAAATCAAATATGTTCAATACAAAAATAATGAAAATAGCTATAAACCAAATGTATAGCCTTGAATTCTGTATAAAAATTTATACTGACAAGGACAAAAAATTAGTTGAATTCAATTAGTATTGGAAGATTGTATCTAAATTTTTTAAAATTTATTCATAACATGAACATGATCTTTTTTATTTTTTAATGTTTTAAAGCATAATATTTTTAGATTTTTTTACTTGTCAATCAGTAATTGTTTCAGACTTATTATTTTTGATGGTACAGTCGACCCCCCCATAACACTGTTGATAATTCCGTTTTATATGAATTCCATGTTGTACAAGTCACTTAGATTTTACATGGAATTCATATAAAACGGAATTATCAACAGTGTTATAGGGGGTTGACTGTATAAGTAACACAATAACACTGCATTTTAATTAATTCAGTCTTTAATTGACACATGTAACTGAATCTTAGAATCTAAATATACAATATGTAATGAGATACATGTGATGAACTAATTCCACAATGATAAAAGTACTTTCACTCAACAGATCTTTCCTTGTAAGCAATCACCAGAACCGAGTTTCATTTGTCCTATTGACAAACTTCTGCATTTAAAGTAAAAGATTATCAATAAGAACAAAACTCCAAAGGTTGCCTAAAAGGAAAGGTCTGTCATGAGTGAAAGCACTTTTATCATTGTGGAATTAATTTGTCACATATACATTTTCTAAAAATAAAAAACTATTTATAATTTTTAAACTGTTTCATCGATTTTAAATAAGCTGAGACAAATAGTTATCCTCCTTTACATTCATATTAAAAATTTGTAGAAATTTCTTGACTATGTATTTTTACTTGCTGCTTTATCAGAAATACCAGCAGAATGCAGGCTATAACATTGTTTAAACTTTTTGAACATCTGCTATCATGCTTGTGAGTTATGACATATTACACGTTCCTGTACATATCTAAAAGATGTTTTTTGCTTTGTCTATAATGATTAAATATGCCATTGTACATATACAAATAAAAAGCACATCTTCCATTTTCCAAAAAATATCATTCCTTATTACTTTCTTTGTTGATAACCATGAAATCAAATTTCTTACTTTGTTTAAATCTTTCTTTTAGCTTTAATATTAGTTTTAATCATTGACTTAATTGATAAGTTTATTCACTTAAATTGTAATATATTGAAAAGACAACAGAAACAAAAATTAACAAATTTTTTTCCTTCACTTGTTACAAGGCTACAGGGCTTGGGCAGAGAGCCTGCAGAATATGGTCCACATTGTTATTACTCTTATGATTACTTATGCTGCATCAATTTTGGCTTTCACTCTGTCATCTGTCTTATGTCCCTTTCAAACTGCATATAATACACTAGTTCCTTGCATAATTCTGTATGAAAAGGTAGTACAGTACACCACAACCTTCTTAAATACTTGACATTACAGTTCTATTTTAGCACTTATCCTGGAGATTTTTCCCTGCTTCATGCACTCCATGCACTCTTGTCCAATTTAGAGTTCCTCAATTCTACCATTAGAGTGTTTTCCAGGGGACAACACTATTGAATATTAGTAGTTTGTTGCAGATTCAAATCTCATCAATGAGCTAGCCCCTAAATAAGAGTCAGCTCCTATAGAAAGACTTCTTGGGAAGCATTCTCTTTTGGCAGATCATCAAAGTGTTAAATTATCTTCTTCCATCAAACCTATCCTTATCAGGGGATTCAGAACTAGAAGCATATGGCTTGGCACAAGCTATATATTCTGGTGTAGAAGATTTGCTGGCAAGAGGTATTTTCCTCAGATGGAAGTGCTCCCATTATTATCTCACCTAGATTTATTTTACGTCTTTGATGTCAGTGCAGCAATAAATACCCTAATGATAAAAGATAAAAGGAAAAGAATAAGATATTCCAAAGATATTCAGTTGTGCAACACTAGGGACAGTCCCAAACTTTGACTACAGCTTAGAAATCTCAGTGGACACATCTTGCACTATCTTCACATCACAGACTTTGGTCTTTCATGTTACAATACACCTTACATGGAACTGTAAGAATGATGATCTTCTCAGACAGCTTATTGATGCTTGTTGCTCTCAAAAACATTATTCTGGCTTCATCCTACTGATCATCAATATTGCAGCAGTGTTAGTTGTTGGTGGTATCTAACTCTTTGTGTAAATCCTGTCTACAAGAGATTTGAATAAATGAGCTGGCTGATCTGGCAGCCTGGTTTCTGCTCATGTGCATGTCACCTGCTGTTCAGCAGCATCATGAGACATGGCTTGATACAATCAGTTCCAAATCCTGATGGACATCTTTTGACCAAACCAAATTTTTGACGTTATGGTTTGATGATGCTCATATCCACCCATTTTCACCCTAGCCTTCAAGACACATAATTGTACCTCATGCCTTGAAGGTGATCCTTGCTGCTCATAAACAGATATAACAGAATTGTACAAATTCCTCTTCTCCAAAATCTAAGGCACTAATCTGTCTTCATTGTGCCTAGAGCATCTCCATTTTTGAGAAAAATTCCCATCATGTACACAACAACAAACTTTGATATATAGCCATGTATTATCTAACAGAAGAGGAATATATCTAGTGCAGTCTCTTAGTAAAGAGATTGCACTAGATATATTCCTCTTCTCAGTTGTGAAGTCAGTTGGATTTCAATGGCCAGTAGGCCATTGAAATCCAACTGACTGCACAACATATCTAGCAAGTTGAATAGTACATATTAGCAACACATTTTAAGTAAATCACTACTACAGCCAGAATTGGAGAAAGTCTCCAACATCAGATTTAATTTGTTTAAAATATGAAAGTAATTATCATTGCTAGATACATGTGAGAAAACAGTCTTAACAAGCATATTGGCTATGTTCTGTGGGTCTAATTTGATGATATTATGTTACTCATGGAATGGGAGCAGATACTATACTTTCCTGTATTTTCCACACTTCTTCGGGACTAGTGGAAGAATTGATTCTGG